CCGCGGGAGGGGCGGGCTCGCGGGAGAGGCTGCTGACTCCAGCGCTGGGGAAGACCCGGGCCGCAGAAGGAAAAACGCGTATGGCATCTATCGACCCAACCGCAGCGACCCCGAGACCCGGTGCGAAGGCCCCCTCTCCCCCACCTCTCACCTCCCTAACCAAACTTTATAAAAGTTGGAAAAAATATCATTTGACTTTTTATAGAAAAAGAAGGAAAAAAATAATTGAGAAAGTGTTCACCCGAGGACTTCATCGGTGAACACTGGTATTTATTTATGTTAGCTCCAAGCGGACGCGTGGTTCAAAAGTGCATTATTTAGTTTGAGCTCCGTAGGTGAAAGAGGAGGAGGGAGAAAAAAATTTTTTTAACTTGAGGGTAAAAATGTGGAAAACAAACCCTCCTATCCCTTGTAGATTATAAATAAAAAAAAACCGCCACAGAACTAGAGGTCTTCTCTTTAATGTTACTTTAAAATTGCTATGTATCGTACGTTCTTATTTAATGTCTGATTGAAACACAAATTTACATATGCATGTTTGTTACAAAAAAATGAAAAAGACGAAACAAAACGATTCACGATTTGTCAGCTCTGATTTCAAATTCCAATTATTTTTAAGGTGTATACCATCGAAAGAGAATGGGTATTTTTTTGTATGTATTCTGGAAGAAAACAACAAAAAAAAAGGAAAAACAATTCTATTCCAAAACCTCATTTGCCTTATTTTGTTCTTTAAAAGGAACACTTAACTATTTTTAATTTTTAAGTCCACCCGCTGAGAAGGGGACAAGTTTACGTCATGTACTGAAGTAATAGACAATGTATCGCTTTAAAGATTAAAATTCCGTATATTTGATGTATTAAAAGGTTCTTCTTCTTCTTTGGTTAAAGAGGACAGCGGGGCAGCTCCGGCCACTGTGGGTTCCCCGGCCGTCCAGCTCCCTTCTCCCCAGGAGCAAGGCCGCATTTCCGATTGCTTTGTTGTGATTTTCTGGAAGAGGCAAAGGCTTCGGAAGGGCCGGGCCCGCCGCGTGGCTGGCCTTAGGGGAAATATTTTGCAAAGGAAGAATTTCACAATTTGGAAAGATAAGTGTCCTCCGCTGTTGCTCATTTCGTTTTTATTTAAATCTTTCCTGAGCAGCTGGTTTGTTAAAAGTGAAAGGTGGGGAAGAAGGCCTTTTGGGGTTTTGTTGCTGTTCTTGTTCTTGTTGTTAATTCCCTTCTTGAGATTTTTTTGGGGGGACGTTTGGGTTTCGTTTTGCGCAGAGAGGAGCAGGCTGGGACTCGCCCGCCGGGGCCTGCCCGGGGAACATGCGGCCACCCGCTGTCCCTCTCTGCTTTCCAAGCCTCCCCTGCCCCTGACAGGCGGTCTGGAGAGAGTAGGGCTCCGAGGGGCCCCTTGGGGAGCCTGTTTCTCGGGCCTTGGGAGAGCAGTCGGAACCCCCTCCTCCCTCGGGAGCATAGGGACTTGGCTCGGCTTTCCTCTGGGCAGCCTAAGGCCGGCCAAATGTCACCAGAGCCGCGCCCCTACCCGCGCCGGCTCCTTCCTCCCGCCCGGCTCTGCCCGGCCCGC